AAAAAAAATATACTGTAAGTGTAATGTAGTTCCCATCAAAATAAAAACATTACACGATCTATATTAGTACAGATTCATATACAATTCATCGTTCTCCACCTCTTTATTGTGAGAAATTAAGAAGAAAATAAGACCTTGCACTTCCCCATGTAAGGAAACGGCCTAATTACGTATCTGTATCTTCATCAAACCTTGATTATATCATAATCTTTTTTCCTGGCAGATCGCATCAAGTGAATAAGCGGTGAAGATCAAGAAACACCGTTAAAAAAACAAAAAACAAAACGAAGAGCTTCAACGCAAGCAATGAACAAAATTGTAAAATACAGGCTCGTGCGCTTTTTCAAAATAAAAAAAAATAAAATATATATATATTTAAAAAAAAAATCTGCCCCTCAGCTTATCACAAGCCTCTCATAGAACAAGATGTACCCATGATCCGTATTGCTGGAGAACTCTTGGGCCGACCCAAAAAACGTCTGGACTGCAGACTCGTCTATCATCTCCACATTCTCATCGTCAAAGAACAGCCAGTGATTGTGGCTCTTCACGAGGCTGATGTAGTGCCCGTGGTTGGGCCCACTTCCCACGTGAACCACCACAGCAAATAACGAATATTCAGCATCAGCATCCTCAACTGTGTTGCTCAGTTTCAGCTCGAGAGGGAAAACTACTCGGTAGGATAGCTTCTTGTACCTGCCCAGTTGCTCGATGTACTTGAACCTCTTCAAGTGGATGACCAAGATTTGGGGCGGCCTTTTGATCTTCATTCTCTTTTGAGCTTCTTGTAAGCTGAAATTGAAAACAAGGATTTGAAAGGTTGGCACTATTATCCTAGTAAAATGGAAACCAAGGTTTTTAACCTGCAGCATTTGTCGCAAAAGAATTTGTCTTCGGCGTTTAAAGTTTCGGTGGAGCTAAAATTTTTCAGGCAGCTCGTGATTGAACTGTTCTGTTCGATATCAAGGCTTAAGTCGAGAAATGTTTCGTCCCTTGCTGTCACTGTCTCACAACACAAGCACCTTGTTTCGTTCGTCAATATGCCCTGAAAAATGGATAAGTATCGATCATTCATGAGAAAATAGGGACTAAATTAAACGCAGTCAAAAAAAGGATCGCGAAGGATGAAACTTTTCAGCAACCAAAAAAAAAAAAAAAANNNTAACCCGAACACTTATTCATTTGCCAGAAAGACAAAGGGCAACTTACTTGAAAATTCTTGTGCACCCAGGTGATGATGGGAGCCTTTTGAGGACTATTGGAGGATATATTTGTGGGTCCATTAGAAACCCTATGAGGACCTTCTTGATCACTCTTAGTAGCTCGAGCCTCTTTCTCCAGTATGTCAACCAGTTCATTTAGCAAATAGTTTAGGAATTCATGGGCATCCTAAATATATAACCACATTAGACTCATATTGATTCAGAAGAAAGAAAAACAGTGATTCTTGAAGAAAGTCCATAACAGATGAACTAATAATAAGTAAGAAGAAACAAAGAAAATGCAAGATTAGCAAGCTCCTTTGAATTTCTACTATACATCGAATGATTGCTGCTAGGGTCAATATCTAACTAATTTGCATATGTTCATAATTAATTATGACTGATGGAACTTTATAAATAGAACACATTTGTAACATACCTGGTGCATGTAACTGCGAAAAATTTCATTTTGCTTCTTGAGTCGTTGTACGAAGCGCTTTGGAGCAAGAACACCAGTTTTTTTCTTTTGTGAGCTTATCTACAAGAAGATTAAGCACAGCTACTTAGACAAAAGTTACCCAAAATGACTCCAAAGCTCGCACGCATGTTTTGGCCCAACACACCTCACCATTGAATGAAGTTAAAGTATGTCACTTCATTAAACACTATTGCATCATAGATTCACGAATACATAAATAAAGGTGCAAAAAGATAAAAAAAATAAAAATAAATAAACCTACGTGCAGAACCACAAGCACCAACAGAATGCAAGGGAAGAATCGTGGAAAGAAAATATATGATTACTGGATTGTTACCTATTCTTTCCAAGAAACCAAACATGGAAGCCCCAAATTTAAATTTTTAATTTTTTTGTATAAATACATTTCAAATATTCCAAAATGCATTGCTTTACACAATTATGAGAAGAAATTGATAATAATAGGTGCTTCTTAAAATCTCCGTAAGTAACTTAAATTAGCTGTTACATCCCATTGTAATATCGAACGGAAGTTTGAATGTTCAAGATCCCACCTCTTAGCACTGTTATAAAACGAGCATCTTAGATTCAAGCATCTCGAAAGGTGCTGGGAGGAGGGAGGGTAATTGAAGTGAATCAAGAACTAAAATGTGTTTATCAATGAGCTCAGAGAACTGCCCGTATACAGCGGAAAATGTTCAAGACAGTAAAATATTAATTCACACTGATTTCTCGAATTTTAACTTGCAGTTAAATGGAAACATGGGCCCTGAAAACCTTGGTGTATTATAGACTGCACCATGAGAGCAGTCTTTATAGTACTTCCAATTATATTCTGTGCAAATACATATTATCAAATATCAACCCTTTCTTGTTTCTCCAGAAACTGCAGCTAGATCCACCTTACCAAATGAATGCTGCTGCATGTTCAATATATACCAAGAGAAGGATGTGCTCATCGGACATCTATATATCAGTAAAACCTCATGTGATAACTAAAAGTAGACACTAATACACTGAGATATCCAATCAACTACTATGTCATGTACAGATGTTTAAGCAAATCAGATCAACAAATGAACCCTGCTATCCCATATTTACTCTAAGCTCCTGACTGATGACAGAGAATATATATCTAAGTTAGACAGAAAAGATAACAACAACTAGCGTAATCTATGGACAAATATATGTCAACACCATTCATAATATATTGTCCCCAACTAAAAGAGATGCTACCTGCAAAAACAGGTCTGCTAGGCATGTCAACAGATTTTCTTCTGCATCGGCAGGAGTTTTGTTATTGGAATAATATTCCAGCAGCTGCTCACGAAATGGGACACAAAAATAAAGAGCCTGCGCATGAATGGAATAATATTAGAACACAGAGACCAACTGCGGGGAAGCCAAACCATAACTTGAATCTAGCCAAGCTCTAAACAGAAAGATCTACTGAAAGATAATACCCATATTGACATCTAGATAATACCCAAATGCAGCATCATTGCTCAATGCTGCTCATATAGCCCATAAAAATCGAAAATATAATTAATGATTTAATTCCATGGTCTACCTAATAAAGCCAAAAGAACATTTATCCTAATGAAATAATCATAGATCTTCATCAGTTAATAGGGAATTTTAACCAGTAACCAAGCTCTACCTAATATATACTCTTAACTTGGCCATTCTTCAAACAACAAAAGAAGTGAACTTCACCACGAAAAAACACTTCAATGCATCTACGGACCAAACCAAGCACCAAATTGGCTATTCTCCAAACAGAAAAAATCCAAAATTTAACATCAGAACATCTCCAAAGGAATCTAAGTACCAAACCCACAACCATATCTAGTTTTCTACCAATGAGAGGATAAAAATCAACAAGCTTTTATACCCTCACTAGCAGTCAATTAATCCACACAAACCCAATAGTTGCTCTCAGTTTCCACAAATTCACACACCTCAACCCGACAATCCAATTCGCACATAGATAAACAAACGCAATCCAATCTCGTCTTGACATTACACAAAAGAAAATCGACGACAACAATCAATCCACAGTTCAAGACACTATGAACCAACGGCAGCTAAATAAATCAACACACACAGAACCTGAAGCACGCTATTGCAGTAGCAGGTGTTGCCGAAATTCTCCAGACCAAAATACCGCTCGCCTTCAGGAAATTGGTCTCCCAATGCTTTCTCCAGCTTCGAACCCGCTGCTCCCATTCTTGCCTCACTTCATCCAGTCTCTCCACTCGCTCTCTCTCTCTCTGTATATATCTATCTATATCTGTGTCCGTATCTATCTGCGTATGCCTGTGATAACCAAACCGGGCCCTTGCGCGAGATTGCGAATGGAATCGTGGTTTGAGATTCTAGGGTTTGATTAAAGAACAAATGAAATTAAACCCTTCAATTAACACAGGGAGAAGGAAGAAAAGTGGACGAATCTGTATTCGTGATTGAATGTGTCGGAGGAGAATTTGTAATTTGAAAAAAAAAAAAAAAAAAA